AGAAAATGCTTTTCTTGTCTCCTTAAATGAAGAAAAGGTAATACTGCAAAATAAACAGGACAAAATAGAAAAATCACAACTGAAAAAGAAACGCTCTTCACCCAACAGCTGATTTTGAAAGGTGGTTTGACTTTAATGATCTGAAAATTTTGTTTGAGATCCACGCTCTCACCACACGTRATCAAACTCTCTAGTGCCAGGTAAAATTTTGGTGTATTTGGAGTACACATTTTATGCACTAAAATAGTACTTTTGCACCATATGTAAATAGAATGTTGCAAGCTGTATAAACTAACCATCTGCTCAAGATTTAGTTCTATAGTGACACACATCAGTTTCTTCTCCTTGAATAACTTCAGCTCCCTGGTGGTGAATTCAAATGCCATGCTAAGGTATATGTTCTAACTGACAGTTACTTTTTAAAAACAAAATCAAGCAAAATACTGACGTTCTGCTAACTCCGAAAAATGTAAAAAACCCAAACATTCAAATAAAAATAATTGGATAAGCAAAGCTTTTCTGCTTTGACTCTGCACTCTTTTTGGGAAAGTAGCATTTCTTTTATTTCTGTAACTTTTATTAATTTTTAGTCCTGATACTGATGCAACTTTCCTCCAAAAAGCAAAACAACATGAATCCYATAATGATCGTACTGATCCTGTTAGCACATTGCAAATCAGTTGTGTAAGAAATCTGGCTTTAAAATAGACACTAATGTCAGGATTTTTTTCTGAAAGTTAGGCACCATTTCTGTCTGCCCAAATAAACACTTGCTGTGCCATTCCTGCCTCTCTTCCTCTTCAGGTTCAACCTTCTCCAGTTAGGAATCTGTTAATTATTAGGGCAACTGCATCCTTCCTAGCTGATACATTTTATGGAGGCAAGATAACTTSGGAGTTCAGTGTAGAGAGTGGAATTTTCTTTACTGGCACAAAGGAAGCGTTAATAATCGTTAACCTGAGGGATACTCTCTAGATGAAAAGGCAGATAAAATGTGGCAGTTGAGCCAGCTCCTGTGCTCTAATAGCCTGGAGAACAAGTGAACAGCTTTAAAAACGGCATCCAGYCCTTTCACAGAGAGCTGTATGGTCGCTGCTGCCCAGGTTTCTCTTAATTTATGGCTGTGTGTTAAAGGGTTAGGAAGATGCAAGCAACAGAATGGGATCAGAGAGTGGGTGAACTGAGACTGAGGCTTGGTTTGGATTCTTGAAYATCTTTGTATGTCTTGAACATTGCCCTAGAAAACAGTCCAACATTCAAGATATGGTCAAATTGGCCTAT